ACATTAAACACTCTCACCTAGAGGGACCCAATCACTTTAATTTCCGCATTAATTACTCCTTAATCAAGTACTAACTTGACCGTTGGAGGCGGAGCTCCCACCACCAGGAGTCTCCGTTATTTTGCAGGTACAGGCGTCCGGTTCCAGTCTCGGAATTGTAACTCTCCCGCAGGACATCAGAAAACCCCGAAACAATAGCCTACGACATACTATGAAACAATAGGTTATTGAGATGATTTGGTGTAAAAAAAAAATACTACTTTTGTTTTGTTTTTTGTTTTACTAATATAACTTTTATAAGTTTGGGATTGTATAGTTAAAGCAATTAGATGCTTGATATTAAACATTTTTCTAATATAACAATTTCACAAGAATACTGCACATTTCCACTCTTTTGCAATATAGCAATGTATTACAAAAGGAAAAAATAGCCAATTCATTTTAGCTCTTTCAATTTATATATAGCAGTTTTTAAAGCGTTGCCTTTAAGATATTTGGCAACACTTTTGTATCGTTACTAGCAAATACAACACGTGAAAAATTTGTAGCATATTATGACATAAGACGACATTTTTAAATTGTTTCCTAAGGTTGCAACAGTTTTTAATTGTTGCCTTTGTAAAATTGTTGCCTTAGGCATGAATTTACCTTGGCTTTTAAATTTGTTGCCTTTAAATAAAAATGTGTTGCCTTATGAATAGACAACGGGGGCATAAGCAACGTCTCATATGTATTGCCTTAGCTACAAGGCAACACTTTTTTAATATTAGGCAATGGTTTTTCACTGTTACCTTAGCTTCATTTTGTTGTAGTGTGATCACTCTGAAATTCTTTGAATTTCGCAAAAGATTCAGATTTATTCGTCATAAGGTAGACATAACCATATTTACTATAGTCGTCCGTGAAGGTAATGAAATATCGATAACCTTGCCTTGCTGGTGTACTCATTGGTTCACATACATCCGTATGTATTAGACCCAATAAGTCACTTTCCCTTTCTCCCAACTTGGAGAATGGCTGCTTTATCATCTTGCCTAATAGACATCCTTCGCAATTCTCAAACGACTCCAAGTCGAATGAGTCAAGAACCCCTTCTTGAAGAAGTTTCTTGATGCGTTTGACGTTAATGTGGCCAAGACAACAATGCCACAAGTAGGTTTGATTCGACTCGATGGTCTTAGCCCTTTTGGCGGTATCATTAATGTTATAAAATTGTTTGTCTAGAAAGCACATAAAGACCATTTTCTGAATATGCCTTACCATATAAAACATTATCGAAATAAAATGAACAACTATTGTTCTTAATTCGAAATTCAAAACCTTTGGCGTCTAATGCCGAAATTGAAATTATGTTTTTGGTAACTCTAGGAACATGATAGCAATTGCCAAGTTCTAAAACAAGCCTAGAGGGAAAAGACAAATTGAGAGTTCTAACGGATACGGTAGACATCCTTGCTCGATTGTCGACCCGAAACTCGACCTCTCCCTTCTCTAGCCTCCTATTTATCCTTAGTCCCTGAGCATTGGAACAAAGGTGTGATCCACATCCGGTATCTAATACCCATGATGTGTTGCTAGCAAAGTTTAAGTCTATAACAAAAATACCTGATGAAGAAGCAACGGTGCCGTCCTTCTTATCTTCCTTGAACTTGAGGCAATCCCGCTTCCAATGTCCCTTCTTCTTGCAATAGAAACATTCGGAATCAGATTTAGAAGAGGCTACCTTCACTAGTAGAAAAAATGAAATAGGCACCGCAGTTTTTGCACCGGTTTTTGAAAACCGGTGTTTAAAGAAATGGGCGAGATTGGGAAAAAGACTTTTCGCACCGGTTCCAACCAAACCGGTGCGAAAAACTCGTTTTTTGCACTTGTTCGAAATCGAATCGGTGCGAAAGCTTTTGTAAAAAAAACCCTAATCAACAAAGGAATCGGGAAGTAGACGAAGATGAAGACCTAGATTGAACGTCGTTCTTGGCCTAAATTCGGTGATGTTGTTCATGAAGAAGTCGGCGCGCGTCTAACTATGGTTTCTACTGAAGAAATCGGCCTTGAACGACCTGCTGCTCCTGGTTTGCTTCGATTTCGCTTCCTTATGGTTTTGATTTTGCTTTTTTTTTTTTTTGCTGTTCTCAATTTGGATCTTCGTTGCGATTGATGAATTGTTGGTTGATTTTGTTGTTGTTGTTTTAGGGTTGTCGAATTCGGTTGTGTTATTGGATTGATTTTTAATGGATTTACTCGTGAATTTGTTCTATGTTTGAGTGATTTTTGCCAATTGAGGTTAATTGGAAAAATTAAGGGTTTCCTGATTTCTCGAGGCTGTTTGTGGAATTTTGGGGGAATTGGAGATGGATAGGGGTTGCGGTGATGGTTTCGTGGGTGAGGTGGTGGGTGTGGTGGTGGTGGTTTCGTGGGTACGGTGGTGGGTGTGGTGGTGGTTTCGTGGTTGCTGGGTTGTCAGTTTTAATTGTGTCTAGTCAATATTGTTCACACAGATAATTAGAACTAGTTCAACTCTTAATTGATAGCTATTCAGGAATTAGTTAGACATCGTCAAGATTTCATTAATTTTGGTTCTTGTAAATATATGAAATTAGATTGTTATAGGAGCCATAGTGAACTTTTTTGATGGAACAATCGACCAAGTTGGAGTTTGATTGAATAGGAATTTACAAGATGAATACTCAAAATCGACTGTGCCATCATTGTTGTAGCTATCATCTATGAACGCAAATATTCAACAGTGAAGACTTTACACTCAATTTTTTTTTGACAGAGTGATTCTGATGGTAAAAGGCTCAAATCAACAGGATTCGGAGATGAAATTCAGAATCAAAGAGCTAATAATGAAACAACTTCAGGAAAAGGAGGTGAACAAAAGAGTAAGCCAGTGTCTGATCCATCAAAGGATTATATTCATGTTCGAGCAAGGAGAGGTCAAGCAACTGATAGCCATAGCCTTGCTGAAAGGGTATTCGATTTTTCCTTGCTAACTTGTTTTCACTATTTTTATGCGTTCATCTTTTTTTGCAAGTCTCTATAGCTGTTTTTAATTTCCAAAAATTATAACCTCACTATACAATTGTATATTATATGATCATTTAAAGAGAATAGATTTTTTTTTTTGGTATTTATTGTTTTCCTGTAAACCATTTGCTGTCAGAGATGTAGGAATATGATACAGTTGATAAAATGTCAGATTTTTTTTTCTTTTGCTGGCAGGCTAGAAAAGAAAAGATCAGTGAGAGGATGAGAATACTACAAGATCTTGTCCCTGGGTGTAATAAGGTTCAACCACTGCTACTTCAATTTTTCCATGTATTGCTGTTGTCATTATTGTTATCATCTGAAGGGCTGATAAACTGTCGTATTAATTTTTGCCATTGACATGAGTATTAATTGGACTGAATTCTCGGTCCACTTTTCTCTTATTGCATCTTATCGATCAATTTATCTAGTTACACTGTAAATCCTACTAAGATTTTTGGTATTTGGCGGTGTTTTAAGTTTTTCGAATATGTTTGAAGAGGTTCATGATCAATACCCTGATACCTGACCAAATACCTGGGTTTCAGGTCATTGGCAAAGCATTGGTACTTGATGAGATCATAAATTATATCCAATCGTTATAGCGTCAAGTTGAGGTGTGTAATTGCTGAAGCTGCTGGTTGTATGTTCTTTCCGTTGCCTCCTTATTGATCTCTAAAACTAACCCTGAATGCTTGTTGCAGTTTCTCTCGATGAAATTAGAAGATGTCAATACGAGAACTAGCCCTGGTATTGAAGGATTTCCCTCAAAAGATGTAAGTAAAAAGACTACAAACTTTTGTCTCTACAAAGAATGAGCTATGGCAATACATTTTTTTTTTCTGTCATCGGATCCTTTTCCTGCTGCTTTGTTATATATGAAGTATATGATACGTGTAACATTGGAATGTAAATTTTGCAGCAGCTTGCAAGCTTCTGATTGGCCTTAGTTTCAGAAATTGAGGGGCAGGAGGCGAGTGTTGTCACTGAATACATTCTCAAGGTAATAGCTCAGTCTTAGGATTGGTCTGATATACTCGTAACTTTCATTGAGTTGATCAAAACATCAGAATCTGATCGTTTGGGCTCTGTCTGCTTAAACAGATTTTGGGACTTGATATCTGTGCTGATACTATGGTGAGAAATGAAATGATAAGGGGTATTTCTGGAGGACAAAGAAAACGGCATTGTAAAACTGTATTACTCCTTTCAAGATGCTGAATATTTGTATCTGATTACTTGCAAAGGAATAGGAGAAAGTTGGTAAGCTATGTGCATCCTGTGACTACTGAGATTGAAGCTGTAGAGTTGTTAAGTAAGAAGTATATCTCAAGTACAAATTGCACAAATTGAAGAGGGGAAAACAGTGAAATAAGGGATTTTTTCAGATATTGAGCAGAGCAATTTTTGCGATGAGACGACGAACAAGAAAGCCTCCTTCCAATGAATTCGACTTTACTATTGCTGGTATTTTTCTATTTCCTCCCAATTCACCATATTTTCATGCTTTCATTTTGCTCAATTTTCAATTTATGTGCTACAATATTTTATTAAAAATCTTGATAAATCTATAAAAATAAAATAAAAATGATAGAAAAGAAAACTCTGTGATGTTGATTAATTCTAGTAATACAGAGAAAGTGGTTGGAAAAAAATGTGTTCTTGTAATTAATCCTAGATTTTTTTTATTTTTTTATTGTGATTAATTTAGGAAATTTTAGGTTTTGATGTCTTAAAACAATGTTATTGATAGAGATTCTTGCGGATTATCATCTTTCTGTTTTATTTTTGCAATTACTGTGTTGGAGTTTTGGATTTTGGAGGCTGAGAACAATCACCTGTTTGTTGTTGGTAATTGCTGTTGTCTATTGAAATTTGCTGCTATACCATGTAGTATCTGGGTTCTTTTCATTGACTGCATCTCTCACTTGATTTTTCGATAATGAAGCCAATTTGGACTCAATGTAACTGTTTTCATTGCAAAACCTGGTTTATGCCAAGAATTTGGTGATAGACAAGAGCATCCAAACAGCATACATTGAAGCAATCAGATCTGCTCAACATTTCATTTATATAGAAAACCAGTATTTCCTTGGATCATCATATGCATGGCCAAATTACAAAAATGCTGGTATGAAATTTTCAGCTTCCCTTTCTTATTATCTTGCTGTTGAAGTTGTTTAGAAAATGTGAATGTTCTTGTTGGATTCGATAGCTAGTGTGCTTACTGATAACGTACTGGCAGGTGCTGATCATTTGATACCTATGGAGTTGGCACTGAAGATTGTTAGCAAAATCCGAGCCAAAGAGAGATTTTCTGTCTACGTTGTCATCCCTATGTGGCCTGAGGGTGTACCCACCTCTGCTTCCGTGCAAGAAATTCTTTTCTGGCAGGTAACATATCAAACCGGTCGTGGTTCAAGATAGTTATGGACTGATTCATTATAGCCTAACATGTGCATTTCAACAGGGTGAAACCATGCAAATGATGTACAGCATAATAGCACAGGAGATTAAAGTAATGAACCTCGAGGATGCATACTCAATATATATGAAATGAGTGCCAAAGAGGATTGTTGAAGTTGTATGCTTCATTAGAACAGGTTTTTGGAGTATTAGAAGTAAATTTATGTAACTTATATATATGTTAGTGTTTATATATAAACTTTAGTGAAAAAATGCAAAAGAAAAATATTTTTTTTTTATTTTTTGGTGGCATTTTTGGCACCGGTTTTGGAAAAGAACCGGTGCTAAAAGTTTAAAAAAAAAAATCTTTTTGGGGACTTTTGGCACCGTATCTAAGGTAAAACCGGTGCGAAACGTGTGGTTTTTAGCACCGGTTTTCACCATAACCGGTTCCAAAAGTCGAATTTCGCACCGGTTTTCACCAGAACCAGCGCCAAAAGTCGAATTTCGCACCGGTCCGAAATGTCATGGGTTTTAGCACCCCCCAAATCTAGACTGGTTCAAAACCGGTGCTAAATGGGGGTTTTGAACCGGTGCGGATTACGTGTTTTCGCCTAGTGCTTCTTGTCCTTGCCACTCTTAGCAGCACTTGACTTAGGCGGAAAATTCTTCTTCTTTTTCCCTTTAAAGCTTCACTTCTTGCCCGAGCGCTTAAATGGCTTTCCCTTTCTCACCATGAGCATTTCATGCTTTCCCTCATCTCTGAGGGTTTGCTCGGCCTGCTTCAACATACCATGAAGCTCGGTGAGAGTTTTCTCCATGTTGTGCATATTATAGTTCATCTTGAACTAATCATAGCCTTTGTGCAGCGAGTGTAGAATGATGTCAATTGCCATCTCGGTTGAATACCCAGCTTGAGCCTTTCCATGTTCTCAAACAATCCAATCATTTTAAGAACATGCGGGCTTACTGGCTCTCCTTTCTTGAGCTTGCTCTCAAGGATCTGCATGTGGGTTTTGAACCTTTTAGTTCGGGCCTGCTCTTGAAACATATTCTGAAGCTCAGAAATGATCTCAAAAGTCGTCTCCTTTTCAAAGAAAGTCTTTTAAAGGTCCGGAGACATAGTGGCCAACATGATGCATTTGACATCCCGATTGGCACTTTGCCATCGGTTAAGGGCAGCCTGGGTGACTTCCTCATTGGGAGTGTCGAGCATTTCCTCATCAAGGACGTATTCCATTTGCTCTTGCATGAGAACAATACGCAAATTCCTTTGCCAATCAAGAAAATTTGGCCCACTCAACTTCTCCTTGTCGAGAATTGAGCGTAATGAAAACTGGTTGTTTGAGTTACTTGCAGACATGTTTCTACAATTGAAAGAATTTGAAATGAAAAACTATTCATAAACCAATAAGTTTGAAATTTAAAGCGTTCATGCAAATTTTCAATCTTATTGAGCATTTTATCCACGCATTAACATTAGTCCCTTTTAGGCGAGAATAAAATGATTCCAAGATCCCAAAAATCAAAAAGTGATTAAGCATGCTTTGGCTTGTCTTAACACTTAATATTTTAGGGTAAGCAATCCAATTGCTAATAGCTCCGAGCTACTCTTGGTTCGATAAAACGTCGCATCTAATGCTTCCTAGACATTTTATATCCATTGCCACGACATCTAAGGACTCCTTACCAATATCGTTGAGCTTAACCAAGACAACTTGTATACCTAGTATACCTTATGTTCCTAGGGAAGTAATGATGCCTCGCTTTGGCGTAGCCCATCACATACGCGCATTAGTTCGGTAAGTGATGTTCTTGGAATGACATATTTTAGCTCAATATTTTACGGACCTAGGATTTCTATGTTGGTTGATTTAAGTGAACTCAATTAATCATCGCAACATTTGAAATCCTAAACATGCACCTAACATATCATTCAAATATATAAGAGCGATTATGTATAGAAAACATGAAATAAAATGCATTTGGCAACTAGCATGACGCCTTGAAATCTTCAAATCTTCAAGGGTCTTCATCTTGGCTCGTCTTCATAGAAACGCCGTCTTGAGACATCTTTGCCAAAATAAATTTACTAGCTACTACGATTAGAGTTAATCTAAATATTAAGGTACAAAAATACGCAACGGTACGCAGACCGTATTTAGATTTACAAAAATACATAACGGATCACAGTCCATATTTAATATCCTAATCGGGCCCCACTTGTTGCCATTTTCACGAAACCTGTGAAACAATATATTTTCCATTCATCCATTCACTATATGTGAATGACCCATGCATTTTACAACGAAAAACAAGTAACAATGCATAACGCGCGCGAACTAGTAACTAACTTAGGTGGTTAATCCAATTAACGCGCCTAATTAAAATTAGTCAAAGTTGTTTAACATTTTATGTGATTAAGACGCAATTATATCATGCATTTAACGAAGCTCCCACTAAATTCCGCATCCAACTTAATTAATCCAATTAATCAAGTCGGTTAACCCAAATTTTGTCAAAATTAAAATTTTTGCAAGAGCCGAAAAAACCGAGGTCTAGCCTCGTTAAAATAATTAAATAAATTAAAACGGCAAAATTTGCAAAAGCGATAGCTCAAGTTTAAGCAAAAAAGGCCCACCCCTAAAACTCGTGGGCTACGCACCATGGCTGATATGCAACCCTTGTTGTTGCATCTGATCATGATGGGTGCTAGCATGCTCGCCCAGCGTAGCACGCCACGCTAGCTAGCACCAGCAACACACTACGCATGCTAGCATGCTTGCTGGCGCAGGCAGCGAGTGGCTGGCTGGCTGAGGCTTGCTGCCTCGCTGCCCAGCAACACGCACAAGCACCTTCCAGCAGCCATGGCCACGCATCCAACATCAGCGCACAACATCCCTCGCCATACAGCAGCAGCACCTCAAGGCACGGCACCCATGTGCGCACCTAAGGCAGCCACATGTGGGTTGCGTGGGCAGCCCGACTAGCCTTGGTGGCGCTTAGGTGTTGTTGCCTCGATTTGCGTGCCTTTTAAAATCCCGTTGTACGTGTGACATAAAATTAATTCTAAATTTATTTTAGAATCAATTTAGGGCAAAGTGAAATAAAATAAGTCCAACTTAATTAAATTCAATTTTAAATGTGCACAAGCCTAAATCATCCAAAATTACCTTTGAAATAATTATGTCTTTCTTGATGCTTTAAAATTAAAGGGCTACACCCATAATTAATTTAACCAAAATGCAAATTAATAATGAGTTTGACAAAATAGGGAGTTGGAAAAATAAACCCTTTCATCCAATGAAAAATTATCCAACAATAACTTGTGTAAAATTGAAAAAAATTATATCTTCCAATATGAAGATTAATCAAAATTCAATCACAAGTTTTAAACTTTAAGGACTTTAATAAACACAAAAATGATTAAATCCAAAAATTAGTTCAACATGGAATTTAGCAATCAAAGTTCCAACCAAATAAACAATTAAAGATTGAATCTTTCAAATTTTAGGGGCTTCAAAATTGCAAGTTCACCATAAACATTCACACTTAAAGCAATTTATTTGCAATAATGTGAAAAATACAAGTTTATGTGAAAAGTGAACACACCAAATTAAGCACCAATTATGACTTCATAAACATGCTTAATGAGGTTTATAATTGCAGTAGATTAGGGATGCAACCATACATTTAATCTACCTTCAACATGCAATAATTAATCAAGGTTAAAAGATTTAAAAATTTTCATCAACAACGAAAAAACCCCTCAAAAAACATATTTCTGGGTGGATTTTGGCTTCTGGACAACCCTAAAAGAATCAGAAACAATTTAGAACATCGATTCCACCCAAAAAATCAATATTTTTGAGTTAAAATCTGGGTTTGTCAGCCAAAATAAAAAAATACGAGATTAAAAATAATTAAAACGAGTTTCTAATCTAATTAGAAAGCACAACCAGACATTTAAATCCATTTTAAATCACCTTAATTAATTATTAGTCACAATAATTAAAGTGAGCGCGACTCCGATACCACTGTTGGGTTTCGTAGAGTCCGACTCTTGCGGAAGGGAAACCCACCCAAGATCCGCACACTAATTAAAGCGACTAAGCACGCAATCACTAATTAAACAACAATTAAGAGAGAGAGAGAAAAAGGACATTCTTACCCTTGGCGCGTGCTTTGCTCGAATCCCGAGCTCTTTCTTGAACCCAGCAAATGCGAAGGTCTCCGACGGCTCGTACCCACGAACCCGACCCGAACGATCCAAGTCCTGAAGGTTAGTTGGGACCCAACAAATAAAAACTAGAGTCTTACGAACTTAAGGTTTTCTCACTTTTCTTAAGAAGATGCCTTTTTAGTTCCACTCAAGTGTTCTTCCCAAATCCCAAAACCTTGGTATGTATAGGGAAATGAACCTTGAATTCGCACTCTTAATCAATGTGGGAGATTTGCAATTTTCCCATTTTATTTTAATTAAAACAAAAATGAAATTGCAATGCAATCAATAAGTTACAAGTGGCACAAGGAGGAAGATAGATTAGGTGAGGACCATTTCCAGGGGGGCCATAGCCTTGGTGCCCAAGGCAATGCCCACAACCCTTGGTCCCCACTTAGCAAACCGGCATCCCTCCATGTGGCTGGCTGGCAGCCTCCCTTGGCTGCCAAGGCTGCAAGCTGGCGCCTAGCACCAAGGCTGGGAAGCCAGCCAGCACAGCCAGCACCCCACACGCACACCAGCTCGCATGCGCAGCTAGCAAGAGCATGCATGCTGCTAGTGAGCCATGCATGCTGGGTGTTGCTACTATGCTAGGATATTGCGAGCAGCTTGCTGGGCACTGCTATGCGAGGCACACGCACCACACGCACAGCCAGCATGCTGCTGGCTGGTGCGATGTGCTTGCGATATGCGATGCACAGGGCTGCTGCCATGCGATGCCTAGCATGCATGCTGCGCAGCGATGCGTGGGGCTGGTGCGTGCCACTGCCTAGCATCATGCATAGTGCACCATGCCTAGCATGCTGCTGTGCGATGGTGCGTGGCTGCGAGCAATGCTAGGCCATGCCTTGCGCCAGCGCCTAGCATCTTAACAAGGCCTAGCCTTGCGATGCTTGGGCGCATGGCGTGCTAGCACACACGCAAGGCTGCGATTTGCGGTGGCTTGCTAGCATGCATGGGCCTAGCACGCCTAGAATGCTAGGCTTGCAACTAG